TTCAAAGTTGGCTTTTTCGCTTCAGCTGGTCCTTTAGCTGGTGTTGGGTGCATGATACAGTAACTCCATAAACAAAGTTATATCAGATAATGCTTTTTAGCATAAATAACATTTGCAGCTTCTGGGACTCTTAACCTTTCACAGTCTCTGCTTTTTGTATCCCTACAGATAAAAAAATATCCAGAGAAACTAGTGTCTTTCTAAAATGTAATCATCATGTCTTTAGGTACCATCTAAACAAAGGCAGAAAACCTCAGCGACACAGTCAAATTAAAACTGGATGACTGCTCTGGTTATATTGAAAAATTTGCATTTAATTTGCATATTAAAGATGCAAAATAGTGAATATAAAAATCTTGCGGCATGTCCTAGAAAATAACTCAGCCCAAAAATATCCAAGAAACTTGCAGCAAACTAACCAGATGAAAAGGATGATCAGAAAATTGTTCTGTTCATCTGATGGGTGGGTCATCATTTAAAAGTCTTGTCTCGTAAGAGAAGGCAGGAAACAACCCCTCAACCAGGAGGACATCAGCTCTGGATGTGTGTATCAGAGCTTCTTGTTTCCTACGAAGTGGAGACCCCACCAGAGACCACCTGCAGCCTCCAAAATGGAAACTTTTCAAGACCAAAACAATCAAACTTACAGGATCCAGAGAGGCACGGGATACAAACTCGACATGAACCCATCATATTGCAGCTCCACTCTTCCCTTCGTTCTCTCTACACTAGGAAAGAAAGTCGTCTCATAGCTGGCAAACATTAAGGCATTTCTTGATCTGCCAACTTGCATTTGGCCCTAAACCAAACAAGCAGTAACACTCCATTTCGGCTCTTCCCACCGGTGAGCACTTTCCCACCATGACCCTCCAGCCATCGTTACAGATGAAGCGAAGCTCATTTTAAGTCTTGCTAATGTCTGCAAGTTGATTTCTCTCCTCTGTAAAACCTACCCAAAGCAGTCCAGCCCTGCCTTATCTGGTGATTTGTAACAGATGTTTTTAAAACTGTCCCAAATTGTGACAATGGTTTGTGCAACACTTCAAAGAGACTGTCAGCAGACCTCCAGACCTGCTGGTTAGAGAGCAGAATTTACTTTTCAGACCATATATGCTAATTTCCTGGTTAGGTGACCCACAAATACACAAGCTTATACTGTGGAAGTTGGGGATTTATTGCTGTATTTTAGGTTTTCCTGTTGCTATTCGATTTTTTTTTTTTTTTTTGTAAGAGAGTGGTTACAGCTTGTAATAGCTTTCCGTTCTTCAGAGATCCCTGCAAAATGTTTGATGAACATGTTTCTGCATGTTCAGAAGTCCTCATTGTATATATTAAATAAACCCAGTTCTGCAAGTGCTGGTTACTTAGCTATTGACACAGCTTTCTGTCAGGTGGGAGTGCTTTTTCTTTAGGATCTTTAGAGAAGTGACCTTCAGATTTCTTTATATGTATAGTCTTACAGTATTAGTAGCTCTACAGCTAGTAAGACACACAGAGGAAGAATAGTTTCAGAAAGATGTAAATGAACTTGAAAGAAGAATATATAAAAATGCTACTATTGCTGCCTTACATATTTTTGATTTATATTTTAAAGCATTTTATCAGAAAAAATGTTACATTATACATTGCATGTTCTTTTGAACATTAATATACCAATACAAATCAACATTTGAATGCTCTGACCTACGAAACAAGCTATTAGGAATCACAGTGGTTAGTTCTAGTCATCTAATGTATTAGACAGTTATTGCACATGAACAGAATATTTTTAGAGGATAATAAACGCCAAGATTTCAAAGCAGCTTAATAATGTCTCCAGTATCAGATAATGAGAAATTCCCTCAATGCTGCTAAGCTGGACTTTGTTAATTATGGCGACTGATCTTACAACTGGCATATTTAACTGAAATAATTACTGTAATTCCTATTTGTTAGCGTGGAACTCTGAATTCACTATGCATTGATGCTTGACCGTCTCTGGTGTGGGCTCAGAAAGACCTCTTGTATCCTCTCATCTGTGTGTACAATCAACCACGCTACGTAACTCTGGACAGTCAAATCCAGAAGAGTAAGACTTCCAGCCATGCTCTCTCACCTGGACCTAGACCAAAGAGTTATACTTCAGAGGAGAAGACAACTCTTAGCAAAACGCTCTGCAATGACTGTATTTCAATACAATATAAAATGACAAATCACGTGAAAATTCTTTGGGAATCACACAATACATGTTCATCTGCTCGTCAGCTCACTTGATTTGTGCCTCTGCCAACAGTTTGCACTGTGATAACAGAACGGGTAAATATTTATGATATTTCTGGTAGCTGTTAACCACTTTCATGTAATTCTCTTAGGAGAAGATCTATCACAGTGGTACACTGAATACATTCTGGGGTTGAGGAAAAACGTTTCTTCAGCTTTCATGTATTCAATAAGCAAGCTCAGGAAAGTCACACAGCTGCTTTCGAACCAGCCTGTGTTTCAAATCGAGCTTAGCTTGGTAGGAAGAACTTGAAATGTGTCTCTCACCAAAAGATTTCTAAATGGAAATGCAATAACATGTTAATTAGAAAATTCTTTACATAGTGAAAGGCTCCCAGTGAACAATTACTTTATATTTCACATAAGCCTTTTCTAACACAATCTTTATATGGGGAAAAGAAAATATGAAAGAAAAAACAACAACACGGAAAACATTATATAAAATGTTGTATTTGAGTATTTCCCATGTAGCAATTAAACCTTTCTGTGGAAACCTGCCTCAGACCTTTATCACAAACCACAATAATACTAAAGAAACCTGATAGAAGATACATTCATTCTCTCCCAGTACAAAAATCGCAAGATCTAGGACACAATTTAAAATGACAGATTATTAGAGAACCATCACCTGATGTACAGGATTAGCACTGTATCAAGTCAAATATAAAATTCAGGCACTTTTAATACATTCTCAGTACAGGTCTTTTCTTCTAACTGTGGGAGCCCATTTGATACTGAAAATGCTGTTCCAGGGCAATAGACTAGATTGACTGGGCTGACTATGGGCATATAAAGGGAAAACTCACTAATATAAATGCATACGGTGTATAAAGCAACTCTGAGTCCTGCCATTAGCACAGAAAGCCTCATAGTGTTCACAACGCCAGCTCTGCAGCCCTACACCTACTGGTGCTGCCAGCCACCGTCAACAGCCCTGTGCTCACAGTGCCAAATGTAGAAATGCAATTTATGACAATCCATAAATGCCTGTCCCAAACTGAACGGGGTGGGGAGCACAGGCAGCTCAGCTCTTAACAGCTCCTGGACAACAGCACAGCCCATCTTATTGCTGAACCAACGTCTGTGTTAGTGCAGCAATGGAATCAGACTTAAGGGGATGAAACAAGTTAATTCTTGCCAGAGTCGGCGACCAGAATAGCCAATGCTCTCCACAGTGGTATGTGCCCTTTTAAAACAACTATAAAAGAAACTCAGTGGTTATAATTAATTTGTACGCATATTCCTCCACAGAATTTTGTAGACAAAAGTCAAATACAATACATAAATTTCTTTCAAAAGTTACTGTGTACAGAATACAGCATATAGAACTGAGACACGTGAAATATTTACAGCTGTAACATTAGTTAAAGACTTGACCTTGCTTTTCTGAGAAGAACTGTTGAGTAGCTGATGAGGTTGTTCAGGTTGTTTCCTGGACTATGGCATCTGAGTTCAGACTGTAGGAAATCACATGATTTTGATTTTTTTCCTCATTATTTTTTCAAATGGATACCTGACGCAGTTCTACAAAAAGAGATAGTCCTTTTACATAATCCTGGATATCCAGCCTTTAACAGTCCGTCCTTCAAAGAGCTCTGCACTTTCCTTCATGAAGGTAGGTCTGCTTTTAGCACTATATTAAGTCAGTTAAGTATTGCCACTCACTTCCTAGCCTCATGCAAAACTGCAGAAGCCAAGCTAAGATAGTATCTCAAACGAGGGGACCTATTAAACAGTATGAATCAAAACCTGATCTCTGCTGACACTCATGTTAGCAAAGCAGGCTAAACCGCAGCAGCTAAGGACTGCCTCACATTAGCGCAACTCATCACAGTAATCAACGCTAACTCAAGCATTTTGTAGTATGGTTATGATCATTTTAGACTCGCAGATAGACTGTGTTGAGCAGAGTAACTGTAGTTAACTGTTGCGGTGTCTGTAGTCTTAATTCTAGTCTAACATCTCCCCAGCCATTTCAATTGAGCTGAAAGAAAGCCTGCAAACAACCTGAAATGCATTAATAATGATAATGATAATAATGATGACGATAATAATAATAATGCTAGAAGAAAACTTCAGAAATCATCTTGTCTACCCTCCTACTCTTGTATTTTTGAAAATCTCAAAGCTGTTGATCAAACTGATATGGGAGGGGCTTTTTTTATTGGCATAAGGATAATTACCACATCAATTCTTCGCCTATGAACAGGCAAAGCGTGTATGTAGGGGGAGTAATTCACTAAAGTAGTTACTTCCCTTCGAAGATGACAGAAAGTCAGAAAACTTTTTAATAGAGCTTTTCCTCCTTGCTTGTTTCTTTGTATAAGGCACTGCAGCCTGCTTGTTTTACAAATTCATACTTGTTAAGTGTCATTTACCCTAGTTTTGCTAGAAAATCCTTTGGGAGTCTCAGCCTGTAACATTCTAAGCTCCACTAGAAGTGAATCATCAGTGACTAGCAAGCTTTAAAAATGAGATTCTTCTAAGTCAGCCAAAACCAGAAAACCAACGCTTCCCTCCCAAAACCACTCAAAACAAATTGTCAATTACAGCAATTATAATGATTTTTCATATATTAAGCTTTCCGTCTCTTGATTCTTAGTTAATTAGTTCTCCAGCACTGAAGAGGTTTCTGCCATAAATAAAATGTCTAATTTTAAAGTAAACAGAGAGGGATAAAAAAGCAAATACTTCTCCCCCTCCCCCCCCCCCTCAAAAAGAAAAAAAAAAAAAGAAAAAACTCTTTCAAAAGGAGAAAAACTTTGCTAGAGAACCACTAACTTCCATGAGTGAGTTTTCTGGGCTGCAAATTAACAGTCCCTCCCTAACTCCCAGGAAGGCTCTGAGGATTAAAGTTTGTAAAATGCATTGAACGTGGAAAGGCCACTGTGAGGTAGTATCACAGCATTCCTATTACGTAGCTTATATCTCTGTCTTTTGCACAACTACTAGAGCTTTTTTAACCCCATTTCACAAAGATTTCAACTCAACCTTTTATGAAAGAAGAACTATAAATAGCCTCTTAGATTAAAACCCTTAACAGCTGAGAAGGCTGGAAAGGGAGGCAGATAGTATCCACCTTTCAGTACTACAAACTGGGGCTGGAAGGGCTTAATTACCAAGATATACTTAAGAACACACTAAGGGCTGCTATAAAAATTACTCCAATTACAGCAGCTCCACAGACATCGCTCCACCTGGAAGAGAGGAAACCATTACTCTTTCCACATACCTCACCTGTACCCCATGCTAATAAAGGGCATCACGAACAAACAGCAGCTTCACGCCATGCAACAGTTCTGCAGCACATGTAGAGTCCTTTCTCCCAGGTGGCTTAACAGAACCTTTCACACCAGGCAAGCCAAAGATTTGGCTTCTTTTCACTTTGAAATCTCAAAGTGGAGATACACTGTTTGTATAACCTAAAGCAACAAAATAATTTCAGCCAATGTGTTAGCTTAGAAGTGTCTCAGGCAGAAAGAAATATTTTTAACCCATGATTTCGATTTGCATGTGGAATTCACGATTTCGCATGAATTACTCACTGTCCTGAAATGGGGAATTCATGGTTTTCCTTATGATTTTGTCTGTGATGATGTATTCTTTATGGTTTTTTTAATTACAAATAAATGTGTAATTCACAATGAATGTTTAGCAAAATAATTTCTGTTAACAGTCAAGAAGTCCTTATGGTTTCAGTACTCCTGTGCTAAACTTTTTGCAATGGTGCTCAACTGGATATTTGAAGTTCCTTCATATATTGTACCTGAAATCAGAAGAAAATAAATTAGAAGACTATAAACCTACAGTGAGTATATGAAGAGAGACCAAGATCTTGTTCTAACAGTCCAGTTAGAACATTTACAATTATGAAGTGAAGCTTTACTGAGCAAGTTAGAAAATTATTATTTACATAAATGTTCATATTTTATTATCTGCAACAATTAAAATACTTTTCTGCAGGTACAACATAATGACAAGACATTTTCCTGAAAAGTAATTCATAAATAACCAACAAAATTTAAATATTTACAAATGCTATCAGCAATAAAAGTCAAAGGGTAATATTGTTAGAAATGTCAAACTGTTAGGTCCAAGGATTGTAATGGTAAACAAGGAAGTCTTGAAAATAAAACTCCACAGAGATTCAGATCTCAAAGCCAAAGAAAGTATTTTCAATTTTTTTGAACTGGAATTTTCTTAATAGAATGGGACACAACGTGTGTGTTTGTATTTTATTGGTATCTAATTAAACATTTTAACTAGCCTTACATACACAGATATTTATAACAAAAGTTTTACCTTCCCATATCTGAGCCTTTGAATCAGTGTTGATTACAGTCTCAGGGAAAAAACATCTTAAAAAAAATAGCCATTCTTCCTCAAACTTTAATACTACTAATGCTACAAGAAATACTTGTTAAGAAACTATCACTCACCTATCTTGCAGTCACGATAGTACTTTTCTATCGGATAATTTTTTGTGAATCCAACGCCACCCATCCATTCAATACATTTACTAGTTGTCAGTGTTGCAACCTATGAAAACAGCTTCAGAGTTACAATTTCAGGATGCAACTTCATGCAGGTGGTAGTAAATTTTATTCTTTGTCGCTATTTAAAGCAAAAACAAAACAGTAATTAAAGCAGTAACTAGAACAAGTGGGAAGAGGAAGGACTGATATTTTTGAATTCATCTTATTTATGCAAGTTATTTTAGAATAAAAATGTCATTTTTCTAAATCAGAGGACATCAAGAATTCACTATCCATTACTGCAATAGTTCACGTGCTGCACTATGAAAAAGACTAGCAGCGGTATACAAGACAGCAATTACAAAGAGGCAGAAGCAATCCAGTTTTGAATCATGTTAAGACTCACAGTTGTGACCAGCAGAGTTGAAGTGTTCACAAATGAAGTCTCACCATGCCATATTCTCCAGCCACAAAAAGAGAATTCTGAGAGAATGAAATCTCTCTAAATGAGTGAAAATACTAATTTACTTTCTCTTTTAACGTTGTTGCTTGTTTTTCAAAATTTTATTTAAGGGTGTGAGCAGTTCATTCTTTGGTGGCCTACTTTACATTCCGTACACGGACTGAGAATGAGAAACAAGGTAAAAGTACATCCACAGATCTCACAGCAAACATGAATTAAAAGTTATACATTCAGTAACAGAAGAAACGTTTAAACAGCAGTGAAATAAATCCACTGAATAAAGAAACTGCAAGTTACCTCAGCAGCATAGTATTTGGCCATGCTGGCCTCCTTTATGAATGGCCTTCCTGTTTCCGCAAGACGGGCTGCGTTGTAGGTCAGCAACCTTGCTGCCTCCAACTGTGTGGCTACCTGAGCTATCTGATGTTGCATCCCCTGCAATCAGCACGCCACAAGTCAGACAGAACCAGTACTTATGCAATTCCAGTACTCAACTGGAATTTCTAGCAAAAAACGTTCTTTTCACCAAGGAACATACCTACACTCTAAAATAAAAATACAAAATCTAGATGGACTAGTAAGTCTGCACATCTCTGCATCTATGACATGGATGTTGGAAAACCTCTGGGCCACCAAAGTCCTTTTAGGAACTGCACTCCCATTTTCTCCTTCCCTCTTCTTGGATTCAGGAGTACTGGGGAACTTCTTGCCTGACTGGCTGGACAGGAGGGTTCAACATGAACCTATTTGCACCCATGAATATCAAGGAAAATTTCAGCCAAATCTTAACGTCTCCTCAGCACTACAGAGACATGGGTAGGTCAAAGCTGTGAGCTTAACTGAGAAAAACTTGAAAAAAGTACCTATTAAATAAAGTGGAGAAATACCAAGGTGACAACCACTTCTTCTCATGTCCCATAACCATGAGACAAGAATTAGGAGCAGCATAAAAGTCTAGAGAATGTGACTGAAGAATGGATTCAAAGGGAAGGAAGAAGGTGATGGAGCTCACCTCTAAATGGTAGGTATTACAGAAGAATAGGTTTATTTAAGGAGACCCAAACATGATGATTGAAAATGAACATTTAGTTGTCTAACTTGCTCCTAAAACACAATGGAATCTTTCATCTTATTAGAACATTAACACTGCTCCCTAAAATTTGCAAAAATATATATGCAGGTCAAAATAACAAAATGATTCGGCAATTAGAAATTCCATTTCCCATTCAAAAGATGCAGTTCCAATAATTTCCTAGATATCTGTGGGTGCTTCCTAAAATTTGTATAAATTATGAGTAGTACTAATGTTCCTTCCCTTCATCTGAGATGTAGTTTTCTTTTAACAAGAAAATTACTACAGTAATTACAATTATATATCTTCTTTATTAAACTATACATCATTTTTGCAACAAAGAGTCTTTTTCGTTTTAAGATACAGATATTATCACGAAAACTAAATGTCTTTGTATAACACAGGAAATCTAATAATTCAATCAGCTTTCCTCATCTTTTTATAATTTCTAGTGTCTCCAGAAAAAGGCCTTCCCCTACACCTCATGAAAGGGTATAAAAACTGGAACACATTCAACATACTGTGATATTAAAAGCAGAAGAGAAAGGAGTTCCATGTGTATTATTTTCAAAGGCAGTGAATACAGTATCAAGGAAAAGGAGTTATGTTAATAATGTTTTGAAATTTTAAATTATTTATACAGTACTTGTAAAGGCACATAGCACTGAATTTATATATTTTACATGGCCGATGAATGCTCATCTGAAATTCTTTTGAAAAATTCTTCTCAAATATTGAGAAGTAGAGACATGACACAAGGTGGAGCACAAATTATGCAAATCAGATTACTCATTTTACTGACTTCATCTTCTGTGGTAACTACTACTCTCTTGGAGGAAACTTCCCATGCGTTCATTAACAAGTACCTGGAAATCAAATACGCTTTTCCCAAACTGGACTCTCTCCTTTGTGTAGGGAGTCGTGTGGTCAAAACACCCCTGTGCCAGTCCTAACATCTGTAAGAAATAAGACGTATTGAGGTGAGTTAGGACAAAAAAACCCCCAGACTTCGAGGAATAAGCCTATTCCATACTATTCCATTCTTGAAAGAAACTTTCTTACTACAGGCAAAATATTTGTGAAAACACTATCACTAATTTTTGAACAAAAGTTATGGGTCAAATGTGGTTGCATAAATATTAAGTGTTTCTGGCAAAATTCTTAATTACATGGGAAAATTACTGTAATCTAAAGATCTATAGATCTACATTACACTATTAAAGCAAAAATAATTTGAATGATTATTCAAAGCTGTTTTCATAATGAAAATAATTTCTCATTTTATAGAAGACACCAGACTATCCGTATTAGCAATTTATTTCAGAAGTTAGAAAATTAGTATAGTAGAAGGAGAGATAACATTTGTTCCAGCATTTTCTAGAAAAAAACTAACTCAAAAGAACAATTTTAGAAGACCCACTGTCTTTTCATACACTCTCTTCACTCAGCAGCAAAGACAGCAAAACACAGTTGTTATCTTGGAGGATAATGTCTGGGAAAACGACACATGAACATTTATAAAGAAGTAATTTGCATCTACCCTAGTGTCTGATCTGTTAGCCTAAAGAAACATGAAATATGGAAAGTAAACTAGTTTTACGGTTTTTTAACTACCAAATTTTGAGAAGTGTATTCCATTCCAAACAAGATAGTAAAGAAAGGACCCTGCCTTTCATATATCTTGGAATATATAGCTATTAGTAAGTAAGATCAGTTGGTTTCATTATATAACTACCATCCATCTGAATGCATTCGTTCTACCTAGTTTCTTTCCTAGGAAAAACAAAGATAGGAAATTAGATTAGGGGAAGCATCAAACAAGAAAAAATAAAAAAAGGGAAATGAGTGGCATGAAGAACTACCAAAAAGCATGATAACAGTATATGGTAAAATTGGAATCTCATAAAACTTTTCTAAGTCAAGGCAGGATTCTATAACGTGGCAGTCAGCTGCCACATCAAGCAGCTTAGTCAAACTACTTCTAATGATGTACAATAGTGTATGGGTATTTTTGGATAGACCCACGTGTTAAGCTAAAAGCCAAGGGTCCCAAGAACATAAAAACATGACTCTGACTGGGTTCAGACATCTACTCCTTAATCATTTAAGATTCTAGAAAAAAAACCCACAATACACAGGAAAATATGTGGGAAAAGAATATAAGAAAATAATAGTCTGCTGCTAATCAGATTTGTTGCCTTCCTACATAAATTCTTACAGATGAACCAAGTATATCAACTTCAGCAACTGTAACAATATATGCAGCTACCTTGCACTAAAACTATCTGAAACTGTTTTCATAGCCACAAAAAATTACATTTTATAAGGTGTTCATTATATTTTAAAACTATTACTACTGCAAAACTAAATTCAATACTACAGGGCTTTAGAACTGCGGTTCTTGTACATTCAAGTACATTTCTCTTCATTTGAAGGTGCCAAGAAAGTAGTAACTAAGATATAACAAGTACCTGACCTTAGCTTTTAATTAGGTTATAAGCGTAACTTGGAGTAATTAAGAGTAAAATCCAGACCATGTATTTTACTGCCAGAGTCTCTACATTATTTATATCTCCGGGAACAACAGGGCCCACAGCCCTAGTTTTTAAATGCCATATCAGACAAAGTTTAATCACAGACAATCTTTAGGAATGATGGAAAAGCCAACCCATTTGGCTTAGTATAGTATAGTATAGTATAGTATACTGCCATGTGGAAAGTCTAAATTTCATAAGGACTATTACTTCTGGTCTGTTTGCAAACTAGGGCAAGAGATAACAGAGATTGGTAGTACAGACATATTACACAGCACAACTACATGCACAACAAAGTAGAAAGCAAGAAAAGATTACTTTCAAAAGTAAACTAAAAATATAAAAACTTGTCACAAGTCATTTTATTATAGGGCTGAACTTGATTTCCACTGAAATCAGAAGGAATCTGAGATCCAAACTGAATTTACAACAAAACACAACATTTTGAAATAACTCCAAGGTCAGCAAATATTTTCCCCTAAGATGCCATAAGGTGCAATTTTTAAACACAACAATGAACTAGGACCCTTCTGCTAGAAAAAGTCATATTTATTTTAAAAATAAGTTGACTTTTAAAAATAAGTTGTTGGGAAAACATCAGTTAGCATAAGGTTACATTTGGCAATCCCATACAATCACAGTTGGAAGCATTAATATCATACATTTCAGTGTGTTATATTTTGCAAAGCTAGTTTTCTTTGCAAAATAAATTTGCATAATGGAAGATAAAAATGTTGACATATTTCAGTAGCAACAAGTTAACCACCAAAGACAAACTAATTGCCATGTAATGTTTTCTAAATCTATTGCTTATGTCACCAAAGGAGAATTTTACCATTTACAGTTGTTTCAGTATTTTACCGTAACTTAGATACAAGAATAGTGACATCTAGTGGCAATTTAGTGTTTAATAAAGTATTTTCTAAATAGTTTATTCTTATTAGCTTTACATATTTTGTAAATGTCAATCCAAATTCAAAGTTATATACTGGTTGTATTCAGTATTAAACAAAATTACCCACCTGTGCAGCGATACCTATTCTGCCGGTATTTAGCATTCCAATTGCATACTTATAGCCTTGTCCAACCTGTCCCAGGATATTGGTCTCAGGAACCTAAAGAATAAAACCACTCAATTATTCCTCTTCTATTCTGCTTTGCAACTGCTAGTACCGTTCACAGGTGAATCACCATACATGTTTTATTTAATGTTCTTCGTAAGTGAAGGCATAAAACATAAACCAGACATTTGATTCCTAGAATATCCGATTAGAACATTTCCTGATACATGTGATTATAAACTGATGATTGAGAGAAACTGTACCAAAATTTAAGAAACCCAACCCCCCTCAAGACTTCTGTGAAAGAACAGGGAGGAAAAAGTTAAAATATGCCAAACAATCAGTATGTCTAAGGAAAAAAAACCTATTGGGAATTTAGTTAACATTCTTTCCTTATACATGGTCAAGCTCCAATTATACACAAATTATGCTTCAATAGCTAAACAACTTACACTACCTTAACGTTTTCAAATGTTACTGGGCAGGTAGAAGACGCTCTGATTCCAAGCTTGTCCTCCTTCTTCCCTACATGTAGTCCCTCTGTGTTGCGATCTACTATGAAGCATGTAATTCCCCTGTACCCCTAGGATGAATTACAAATTAATCAAGAACTGTTTTTTATACTAAAATCAACAAATGGTGGTCTAAATATCTCATTCCAGTACCAAAATTTTACACCTGCTTAATACTATATTACGAAATAAAATACTGGCACAGTCATCTGTTCCCTCTATGTCTGCTAATTATGGTTTAACAAAGGCCAGAGATACCTTCCTATTAAAATATTCCATGTGGAAAACATCATCAGAACAACCTTAAAAGTTCTCTTGATAAGGCAGGGGACTGATATTATGTAAATAAAACAGACAGGACTGTAGTGCCTGTCCGTACTGGAAATCACTGGGAAAGCCAGTTATTGCTGTGCAGTGAAGTTACTGCTTGCTGTTGGAACATATGTCACAGTCAAACAACGGAATGCAAGAAGACACAGGGCATCTTTAGACTAAAGTGGTCAAATGAATAACGGCTCTAAACCCATGTCAGATGATTCTATAGGATGCAAGATTTTACTTAAGCCCAATTACTTCAGCTACTCTTCTCATGGAAGGCTGCATGTATACTCTTCCTTTTAAGGCTGTCCAAAGTAAGAGCACTGACTGATGAGACTGGAGTCACTGGGAACTTTGCTTGAATATTCAAAGTGCAGTATAACGGTAAGCGTTTGTCGTGGTTTAACCTCAGTCGGCAACCGAGTACCACACAGCTGCTCGCTCAGTGTTATAACAGACCTAAGCTAACACCCAGAATTGGTGCACACATTCTCCTTGTGATTCCAGTTTGCAGAACATTGATATCACTGTCTCTTCACTTCAGAGAGGTAGTGGGAATATAATTAATAAAGTAGTCTGAAATCATTATGATGGTTGTAATCAAAAATCTCAAAGAGCTGATTTGGTATTCACATAACGATTTGGACAGGACACTAAATAATGCATGTGACAACACATAGATTGTATAGCCAATCTAAATTCTGGCATCTCCTACATACAGGCTTACAATCTTCACATCTTTAAAGCCTTAAACTAGATTCTTGAAGTAGAGAATGGTGATTCCTGATAGCTGTCGCTTTCTCTTTTTCCCTCTGTGTAATTCTTACTCCCAATTCTCCCTCCTCTCCACCACTCATTCTCGCTCCCTCAGCATTTCCCCCAGCCAGAACCCCAGCAGTCTCTCTTATGCAACATACAACAAGGTCTATGAGACAGAAATGTGAGGTGTTCCTGGCCACGTTTCCAGCTCTTCCTGTCCCTAACATCCACAGCACCCACCTCCTCTCACTAAGAGGGTGACACCGAGAGGCAGGAAAAGTCCTGTGGTTCTTCTGGAAGGGTTTGCCTCTTATTAAAGAGAAGGCTGCTGTTTCAATCTCACCTCAATGACAGCCCATCTCACCAAATGGGAGCTGCTAGTGCAGAGTGTACATTTCAGTACACAATTCTACATTGGTCTGTTCTCTCATTTATACTGACGTCAACTGTTATTTAATCTTTGAGCAGCACTGACTTTTAATCTCCTTCTTGAATATTTAAAAGCAAATTTCTAACTCTAAGAAGACAATGCATTATATATTTTTAAAATGTTACACTAATACAGAAACAACTCCAGATTATAAGACAATGCACAGCAGTTAACAAATATAGAAACTGGCTTATCAAATACATTTTCATTGTATGCAGTACTCAAATCGCCCACTAGCTTGTGAAGAAATGAACAAAAACTCAGAAAGTGACACGATATTCAACTGTTCGATACAATGAAAGAAAAACCCCTCTTCTTATTTAGTCAAAACCTGAAATTTTAATTTAAAAAATAAATATCTTCAAGTTAAATTTTTAAGAAAGAGATACTGGAAGAAATTTAAAAAATAAATAAAAGTTTTAAACAATTACGTTTTGTATTTGATTATCACTCTACCATACTGATATAGTACATTTTAAAGCCCGCAGTTGACTTTTCTGAATCTACTACCTATATCCAAATTGGTGACAAAATGAAACATGCATATTCAGCTAAGTATTTTTTTTTACCTGAACAAGCTTTGCTGTTGTATTCTTGTTAGTTTTCAGTGCATGTAGCCTAAGCTCTATTTTGCCTTCTAACAACAGCAACTTGTCAGTTAAGTCAGAAGGGTTGGAAAGACTTAGACTATCTGTTCTTCCACTACTCAGAATAATACCAATGCATGCTGTGCTCTTCATCTAGGCAATTATGATTCTGACATTTTTATTTTCCCTGTTGGGAGGAATTTATTAAATTGCTCACCAAGTTCTCAATTCTTGTTGGAAAATATTTTTAAAGGTAATATTTTTAAATATTTTAGCTGTCAGCTAGGAAAAGGTTCAAAGAATATTAACCTTTAACATCAGATTATTAATATAAAATCCAGTTTCATATATAATCGGCTGTCACTGAAATGCAACTATTGTTTAGCAACTTACTAAGGACGGATCTGTATTTGCCATCACAAAGAAAACTCCTGCGTGTTCTGCTAAGCTAATCCACATCTTTGAGCCATTGATAATATAGTAGTCTCCCTTCTTTTCAGCCCGAGTCTTCAAAGAAAAAGCATCACTGCCAGATCCAGCCTCCGAAAGACAGAAACTGCCTATCTGTCAATTGAAGGGAAAAATTCATTTTATTTTTTACTGAACATACAGGCACAACATATAACAAATTCTGCAACAAAAATAGTTATAAACAAGCACAAGTCTCTTAAATTCAAACATTTTAAACTATTGCATCAAAGTAACTAAGTTTCAGATATGGAGATTAAGAATAGAAACACTGTGTAATTACGTCTCTCAAAGTCAACTGCTTTAAAGTTCTTTTCCACAGCAAATTAAATTTTAATGAAACTAATAAATGCCTTTCCACTTTTACCTCTCAGCTACTGATGACAGGATGTACCTATATCACCACAGATCTCAGCTCTAACCAGTGTTTCAAAGTTCACACATATTTTCCAATGCTGCAGTCATCCACTTAGTTACTGAAAAAATCACTAACATTACTTAACTACTAAAAATTATATTACAGTTTAGTAAAGTGAGACTTTGACTCACTGTATCTTTAGCGACTCTGGGCAAGTAAGTTCTCTTTTGCTCTTCTGTTCCATATGTGGTAAACAACTTATTTGTTAGTGTATTCTGGAGTTCACATAGAAGAGCTACAGCTGGATCAACTTTGGCCAATTCTTCTACTACCAATATGATTGAAAAAAATGAAGCTCCAGTTCCTCCATATTCTTCCCCAAGCTCAATACCCATCAGCTGAAATGTAAAAGATGCAAATATATCAATCTGTTCGTTCTTGTCAACAACTTGTTAGTCCAAGCTGATCCTTAAGAGATTAAAATAAAAACCACAGAATCTAAATATTTCCAGATCCTTCCCCAAAGACCTGTGTTCCTTCAATGCCCTTAACAAACTAACAGTTCTTCACAGAAGTTGATAGTCAATTCATGCAAGAAATAACTAACATGTGCAGTATACAGGCCAATCATCACCCTAATTTGATTACATTTTCCAGAACAATTGCAATCTCAACGGAATTCTAATATTTAGAGTCGTCGTTGTATATAATGACATTCTAAACACAAACAAGCTTTAGGTTTGATAGCAGGAAAGGCTAAAATTGAATCCAGGAATGATCAACAGGATATCTGCAACACGAGTCCTTGTGGTTGCCCAGTAAGGACACAGAGGACTCCTGATACCCTTTTCCAGCAACACTTATCAGAGTCATGGCGATTCTAGCATTCTATGCAATTATGCTTATCCAATTAAAAAGACAAAAAAAGGCGGGGGGGAGATAAGGAACTCAAAGATAAGACAAAGAATGTGGTATGGGAGTGGGAGAGATGGAAAGAATATTACAGAAAAAGATGGAGAGTGATAACGCAGTAAAAAAAAAGAGAAAGTTGCCCTGCTGATGATAAATCCAAAATTTGTAATGATTCATTAGTTCATTTGAATTATATCCCTCAATCTTTTAATCTAAAAATCCAAAAAGTACACAGCTAGAGATTCATAAAATGATGTCACTTTCTGAATAAAAGATTAAGTAAAAGTGTGCGGACCCCTTGCTCAAACAATCCCTGTATTACAGAGTCTTCCATTTTCGAATTCTCATCCATTTTTTGTACCAAAGGTGCAACTCGTTCCTGAGCAAATTTTGTCACTGTAATGAAGAGAGGAAAGAAAGTGTGTAAGTATTCTAACACCCTACTTGAAGACCAATATAACAGTAATATGGTACTTCTGACAGGTAATGCATGTATCCCCTGACTCTCCCAGACAAGTTAATAAAAGTACAAAAAGTTGTCCAAATGAAATGAGGTAATGTGCTACGAGGCTCAATTATAATTGCTTTTTGAACTCAGCTACAATTCTCTAAACCAAAACAAATATTTCCTATAAATTAAGAAACTTTGAAAGCATCTCAGAAACACTTATGTAACACTGGTTGACCAAAAAAATTATAGAAAATATTTCAAATACATCCCTTATTTGGTTAGCTGTATCGTACTTCTTTATAAATTAAACCTGCAATTTAGGAAGATGGTCTCAGGCTTTAACGCATGTTATTTTGAGCGCACAAAATCCTGTGAGCTCCTGTTCCTGTTTAACCAGAGCCTTTTATAAGCTCTCTCCCAGATGTGCAGGTCCTCACTCTTTCACCTTTGCGCTGAGGATCCCTTCTGAAACACTGCCTTCTTCGTGCAGGCCTGGCTGCACTGCAGACACTCACATCACATCTGTCACTATTCTGGGTACACTTGAAATCTCTGAAAACCAGCCGGAGCAGTTAACTGTAGCTGAACTAAACACTTTAGAAAGGGCACGAGTCAATGCCAGGCAACTTCACTTCTGTGACAGCAACAGTTTTAAACAGTTAATTCTTATTTATGCAGAGTAAACTGCACTGTGGTATGTGGAACAGTGCTAAGGTAACATGGAAAAAGAACATTATATTCTTCTCTTCTGAACTAAAGCGGTTTTAACATTAAGCACACACCCCCCCCAAAAAAAATCTCAACATTTAACTATAATTAAATAATGAAAATAAATTTTTAAGCTAAAATTTCCCTTCTAGTTAGATATTTCTGAATTTTAACCACACAGATAATAGGTACCCATATTTTTCAGCATTGTCTCCTCTTCGGTGAATGTTTGAAGCGGAGCACAGACAACTCCATCACTGGCTAGATTTGGCATGAGTTCCGATTTGGAGGATCTAAAGACACATGGAGAAGCCCTCCAAGAAGCCAAGTATGCTGGCATATTTCTTTTCAGCTGTTGACAATAAATACAGAACATCAGAACAGTTAATAGAATTTCTATTTGTAGACAGACAGCAATACACAATTTTATCCAGTGTTTTTATTCAGTAACGGAATAGGAAATATAACGTTCAATGACTTGTTTGAATGTTTTTGAGAAGACACAACACCCCCCCCCCAGTGTCCTAAAAGAAAATGTCCTTTAATTACTCTTCTTTTAACCCCAAACAATTTTATTTCTGCAAGTTTGCTAACACAATGTTATTCTATAAAGTATTCACAAACATTAATTTTAGTCAATTTTAGTGTTTACAGCAAATAAACCCTGCTGAAATTTTACAGATGATTTTGCAAATCTGCTGCAATATTCATAGTAGTAAGTGTATATTTTGATAGAATTAATATCTTCACTAACAACTATGATAAGAGTAAATGTGAAATAGACATTCGAATGCTTTTTACAGAAGACCTGTCAACTTTAATGATAGACTTAGCTTTCTCCCTGGTTATCTAGGGGCCAGCAACTCTCACTTCTAAAGCAATCTGATAGCACTTCATCTGGATTACTGGTGTTTTACTGTGAAAGGGCATAACTTCAACAGCACTGTGGATTTTTGTATTCAAGCTGAGTTCTTATCCACCACTTCATGATTTTCAGAGTGAGCACACATTTCATAGACAAAGCACTGGCTTTTGAGTGTTTCTGTATAGTTAATTTCTATACAGTTAGTTTAAATTCTATAGTTAGTATGTTGATAGTACTATGTAACAAATAATTAATGTGTCTTATTTGGTTGATTTATTAAAAAAGTACAGGAAGGAACTGAAATTGAGTAATTTATGCTTAACCTCTCCCCATTCGTCCACGAAATACAACAATCTCAAATGATATCAAGAAGCACTGGTTACCCAACCAGGAGAGAAGAGGTGTTACAGAGTGTTTTACTCTAGGGGGAATGGCGTTAAGCATGTGTGGCAAAATCTGACAAGTCACAAAAATGAACAGAACAGACAGTGGCTTTTGGGAGCAAGCTACGCATAGTGATTGTCGGGTGGGTGGACATAGATACTGTGACAGGTAATTAGTTTTGTACCTTGGAGAACTATGAACTACTTAGTGTTCAAAGACTTACTCAAGTAGGTAACAGCAGGCTTTAGAAAGGAACACATTTGGTTTGAAAGTTAATATACTGTCTAACCACAGAATAACTTCTTAGGATTTTTTAAAAAGTTAGCAACATGAGTATGATCTGGATCAAAAAGTAACAGGCTAACAGTAGCTAAACCGCTGCAAAACGTATTCCTGAAAAGCAGTATTAAAAAAAGAAGCACAGTTCAACTGACTGATCTCAAAAGAGGCAAGACAGAAAAATCGCTTTGCTCTCATAGCTCCCAAAACCCAACTTATTTTGTGGCTAACGTCTACAGATCAGATCTTTGCTACAGATATCCGTCACTATTGCTATGTCAGTCTAAAGTGTGGAGATATTAATGTCTTACCAAGACAACTGCTGACAGAAACCCCCAGCAGAGACACAGCAGTGCCATAAAAATAATGTATATATGAGCACTTGCGTGCCAACATACATTTTTGCCAGTATGCACTCTTAACCCCACAGCGAGCAGACCGACCGACTGTGCTATAACCAGACTGCTATTTAGCTCACAGAATGCAGGACAATTTTGCAATGCACACTGATAGCAGCATTCCTCAAAAAATGGCAGAAACTTTGGGGTCAGGAAGTAAAAATTCCTTTGATCCTTCTAATAATTCACTCTCTTTCATGTTGGCTTTCAGCACCTGTCATCTCCCTGGCTGAAGAACTGATGTAAAACAGATCTACGGACTCCTTTTGTCTTAGAGACAAGATGCATAAGTCTATTACGGTAAGGAAACTCCGACTTTAGCACAACCAGTCATGCATGACAAAAAAAAAAAAAGTAAGAAGTGGTAATATAGAAAACAAATATTGCTGTGAACATTCAATGTTCATTCACATTCAACACCCCTGTTCACATAAAACAAATACTGACCAGTGGGGCTGATTCACGAATACAAAGTTTGGATGATCAGCAATAGCTGCAACACTTTCAAATGAAGACTAAGTTACTGGAGTCACCGTAGGTCTTCACAGAAAAACAAAGAAAGAGTTGCTTTAATAGAGATAAAATCCAAGGCAACCATGTTCTGGAAGCTGTCAGTCAGGAATGGATTATTCGCAGAACATCCAGCTATGGTAGGGTCACTCACCACCCAGGCGTGTAAGACTATTAAACATCCACCTGCATAAGTCCATATTCTTAGCAAGGTCTGAGAAGGAAAAACTTAAGTATACACACACACACACATATATACATTTAACACAGTATGCTTCCTGATAGGATTACAAATCACACATACTTCCTGCTTCTTCCACTACTTTATTTCCAAGTACAAAGAAAAGAGCATTTTTCTTTCATGGTGGCATAACCAAAGACGAATCACTGAGAATACTTCACCAGTACTGACCAAGAGCTGTCAGGAAGAATGCACAGTGCCTTTTTAAGAATACAAAACTTTTTGAAAAGCTGCAAGTAGGTATGCTCAGTAGGCAATAAGCCAGTACTGTTGAAACAATAACTGGTAGTACCAGTTGTTGTTTTGGATTACCTCTACTTTCATTTGATGGCACCTGACACTTGGATGTAGAATTATCGACCACACAGGGGAACGCATCACTAAATGCATGCAGAGGACTCTGCCCCGTCCAAAGTGGGAAGTACAGATTTTGTAGACCACAAAAAATACACAGGTTTTTCTCATATGCTTTCATGAAAATGGGAAGCTGGACAAACTTGATTAAAAGCAGCTCAGCAAGGTCAAGCACAAGTGCACAGGGCTACACTGGCTGAGGTGACCTGCCAATAGCCTGGCTAGCAAGTAGAAGCTTTCAAACACAGTAAACAGCTCAGTGTTTGTTACAGGTTACAGCCACTACAGCAGGCCCACTCTTGGCAACAATGCCAAAGGTTTTGAGAAAGTCAGCTCTCACAGTAACTGTCCCTTAGCTCATTTCCCTCCAGTACCCCCTAGTGGAAACCACGCCAGGCTTTCACCTCTCCCCAGAGCTTTCACTTGGAGGCTCTTCCACTGCAATCAACTCACTTCAGAGTGGCAGAGAAAGGTGTCCTACCGCGGCAGGAGAAACAAAGGCAGCCCTTAGCGTATGTATGCAGACATGGTTTGATAAACACTTGTTTGATACCTGATTGAGATGGCGCTAGAGGACAAAAGGAATATTCATAACAAGGTTACCTTGAAAAGTCTTAAAGCCAGTAGGATGACCCCAAGGGACAGGACCTACATTGGCAACACCCACACACAGAGCAGCAACCCACAGGTATGCCAGAGTAATAGCACAGCGTAGAAATGATTTTTTATTTCAACATTTAGATTAAAAAAAAAAATCAAGTCACTACGTTATTGTTTAAATTTTTATTCTTAGAAGTCATGCAGTGATATAGTATTACTAACTTTCAGATAGCTATTTAAAGTGCATGTACATTACTCAAATGCTTTGATACAGCTTCCCTGCTTTTTTCCCCCCCTCTTTTTCTGTAGGTAAGGTAATGATTTATGCTGCTACAAGATTCAGACTGCTTGCCCTACTAAACACATGTATTTGAAAATTCGTTTCTGGGTTGCTGATAACATTGATTTTTCTGTTTATCTCAACTTTTACCTCCACCTCAACTCTTTAAAGGTCAGTTATTTTGGTTTCCTTCTATTGCTTTACAATCTAAAATGAGATTTTAATGCTGGTGGACTTGGCAGCAGCATTAAGATATAAATAAAAAAAGGCCAAAGCAATATATTTTCCTAAGCTCACTTTGTTTTCCTTGATGACTTCCACTCCTGTATCTGTCCTAGCTGGCTTCCAGACAGCTCCTATTTCTCAGCAGAGAAGCTCCATTGCAGGAAGCTTGCTTGCCCTCATTTATGGCGTTGGTTTTCTTCATTTCAATTGTCACAACACACCCACAAGCTGCCATGAGAAGGTCCCAGGCCAGCATGTCTTCTCACTCTGCACAGTAAAAGCGTGTGTGTGGCACAAACCCAGGTTTTCTGCTTGTTTCCTTGGTCTTTTCATTACCCCTACAATGCCACAAGCCTTTTGTCTGTTCAGGTAGGTAAAGGAGATATCAAAGCACCTCTGCTGCTAGAACTGTGCTGTCTTCTCATAGGCGTATCAGCTACGGGCTGCTCCAACTACAAGACTTTCAAGAACTTTTCCTAGCAAGAAGTTACCTAGTACCACCCCTCCATGCAAAAAACTCAAGACAGAAGGAGAAGAGGGCTTTCCAAACCCACCCTCACGCCCTGCAGAGCTGCACTTGAACCGAGCAGACCCCGCACCCCGCCAGCTCCGAGCCCAGTGAGCGGCTCCCCGGGGGCCGCTGCGGCGGCGGG